GCCTCTACAGTCGTGTTGTGGCGCTGCATATGTGGATCCAGGCTACATGCAGCTCTTTTAACTTTGTCTTTGTGAATAACTTTGCCCTTTTCTGGAAACGTTACGAAGCCTATCGTCCAGACGGATTACACCCAAACAGATACGGTAGCAGCCTGTTGATGGGCTACATGCGTTACGTTGTTCAGCGTTCCCCGAGGGGGGCGTGACTGTTTACATCTGAGCCCCCTCGGACCCCACCGCACTCCCCCGCCTCCTGCTCACCAGCACCGGGTGAGTACAACGGTGCAAACACTGCTCCCTGTCCGTCTGGCAGTGCATTACCAGTCCAAACACTGAACTGTGCTGACTCCCTTCTGACTCTGGGAGCTAAAGAACAACAAGGGTTTTCACATTTTAGTCCAATTGAGACTGTGTGTGTTCCTCGCACCAGCTCAAAAATGTTTTTAAATTCTAAAAAACGAAATCAAAACAGGACAGCAGTTAGACGGTCCAACTCTGCAAATCTAATTTCTGTTCCCTGTAGAAATCAATCAACCACATTAATCGACTCTGACGTTATTTTTAAACTTGCTATGCTTAATGTCAGATCTCTATGTAACAAATCATTTTTAATTAATAATTTTATCACTTCTTATGATCTTGATTTTATGCTTATGGCTGAAACATGGCTGGACCAAAATACAGGAAATGCAGTTCTAATAGAAGCAACACCACCCAATTTTAAATTCGAATCCGAAGTACGAGAAAACAAAAGGGGGGGAGGCATAGCTGCAGTTTTTAGAGAGCACTTTGTCTCCCATAGAATGCCCCTTGGAAATTTTTCATCGTTTGAGTATATTTCTTTTAAAATGGAACAAAAGCAATCTTCTACTCTTTTCATTGTCCTGTACAGGCCACCACAGTCATGTTGCGATTTTATTGACCATTTTACTGAACTACTTTCATTCGTGTGCACAGATTTTTATAGTTTAGTTATTACAGGTGATTTTAATGTACATGTTGATAATGTTGATGACAGAAATGCAAAGGAGCTGGCTTCTGTATTTGAGACCTTTGGTTTCATTCAGCACGTGAGTGGCCCCACCCACAGCAGGGGGCACACTCTTGACCTGCTAATTACAAAGGGGGTTAATGTATCAAATGTTAATGTAGTTGATGTTGCTTTGTCAGATCATTTCTGTGTATTTTTTGACATGTGTTTTGCTAGCAAACCACCAGCTGAATTTACAATTGCTAGAAGAAGACACATACATGAAAACACAGGTGAACTGTTCATGGGAATGCTAAATTTTGAGAAAACTCCATGCTCTACTGTTGATGAATTGTATAACTCTGTCACCACCAGTGTTCTGAATGTTCTGGACGCCATTGCTCCTGTGACGGTTAAAATAGTTACCAGTAAGAAAAAGGCCCCATGGACTAAGGCAGACTCGGTCAGGGCACAGAAGCAAGAGTGCCGGAGGGCCGAACGGAAGTGGCGAAAGTCCAATTTCCAGGGCGATTATGAAATCTTTAAAGATGAGTTGGGTGAATTTAACCGGGTTCTACGAAGAACAAGAGAAATGTATTTTTCTGACATTATTGGAGGTTGCAGTAACAATTTTCGTGTTATGTTTTCAACAGTTGGTAGATTAACGAACCCCCCTGTAAAGTTGCCCCTAGAATTTTCCTCTAAATCTAGGTGTAATGAGTTCGCACAGTTTTTCGATGACAAAGTACAAGGAATCAAAAACACTATCACCTCCACAGCACGTATAACAATGCAACAGCCAGAGAAGCTTTTTGAGCTAACTCACTTTGCACCTGTGGATACTGAAACTGTCAAAAAGATAATCATGAGTCTGAGCTCCTCCACATGTAGCCTGGATATATTGCCCTCTAAATTTCTGAAGTCCGTCCTGAGCAGTTTGTTACCTTCACTGACACAAATAGTAAACATGTCTCTGTCGTCAGGAACATTTCCTATGGCCCTAAAAAACAGCAGTCATAAGACCTCTCCTAAAAAAGAGCAGTCTGGATCCTGCGGGACTTCAAAATTATCGCCCCATATCGAATCTGCCATTCATTGGAAAAATTCTTGAAAAAGTGGCCTCCCAACAACTTACTGAATTTTTAACAATGAATAATTCTTTTGATATGTTCCAGTCTGGGTTTAGACCCCACCACAGCACTGAGACCGCTCTAGTGAAGGTAACAAACGACATTCGACTTCACACTGATGCAGGTAAAGTCACAGTTTTGGTCATGTTAGATCTTAGTGCCGCGTTCGACACTGTCGACCATGAGATCCTCATGCAGAGACTGGAGGACTGGGTTGGTGTCACTGGCACAGCCCTAGACTGGTTTAGGTCTTACCTGGAGGATAGGAAGTACTTTGTGGAGATTGGAGACTGCGTCTCAGATCATGTGGCCCTGACCTGTGGAGTACCACAGGGGTCGATCCTGGGACCTCTCCTATTTAATCTCTACATGCTGCCGTTAGGTCAGTTAATACAAAGAAACAAAGTGTCCTACCACAATTACGCCGACGACACTCAGATCTATGTCTCACTGACTGCAGGAGAACATGGACCACTGGATTTGCTCCTTCACTGTATCCAACAGATCAGTGAGTGGATGCAAAATAATTTCCTCCAGCTAAATGCAGACAAAACCGAAATCATTGTCTTTGGTCCCCAGAAACAAAGAGAGGGCGTCATCTGTCACCTCCAGTCTCTCTCCCTAAAACCTTCAAACAAGGTCAGAAATTTGGGGGTAATACTGGACTCAGACCTAAATTTCAATAGCCACATAAAATCAATAACATCAACAGCTTTTTACCATCTGAAGAACATTGCCAAAGTCAGAAATATAGTGTCCAGGGCAGACTTGGAGATTCTTGTCCACGCATTTGTCTCCAGCAGGCTAGACTACTGCAATGGCCTGCTTACAGGTCTGTCCAAACAGACCTGTAAGCAGCTGCAGTACATCCAAAATGCAGCAGCTAGAGTCCTGACAGGAACCAGGAAGTATGACCATATTAGTCCGGTCCTCAGGTCTCTGCACTGGCTTCCTGTGGCTCAAAGAATAGATTTTAAAACAGCTCTGCTTGTGTACAAGTCTCTCCATGGCCTTGCACCAGAATACATTAGTGACATGTTGGTGTCATATGAACCAGCCCGGACTCTGAGGAGCACAGGGACTGGCCTCCTGCTGGTGCCCAGAGTGAGAACCAAACATGGGGAGGCTGCGTTTCAGATCTATGCAGCTAAGATCTGGAACAATCTCCCTGAAAATGTGAGGGAGGCGTCTACTCTGTCAATGTTTAAATCCAGGTTAAAGACTGTTCTGTTTGCCTGTGCATACAACTGAAGGATTTTATCTCCATTTGTAATGCACTGCTGTCATTTATTTATTTATTTTTTTTAAATTTCTTGTGTAACTTTGAAAGTGTTAATGGTTTTATTCTTTTGTGTGATTTTATTGTTTTTATTGTGTTTTAATCTTTTGTGTGATTTTAATGTTTTAATTGTGATTCTGGTGTTTGTTTTATGTGATGATTTGTGATGTGGACTGTGAAGCGCTTTGTGTTGCCCTGTGCATGAAAGGCGCTCTACAAATAAACTTTGATTGATTGATTGATTGATGTCCTCTATAATACACAGATATATTGAAGTAATAATGTCTTGCACTTGTAAAGTGCTTTATGGCTCTACACTGCACTGTCCACTCCACACTCAGTGGTGGCAAAAGAAAGGCTCCAGTCTGTGCCATCAGCCCCACCGATCATCATCCACTTACCAATTTCATACTAGTGCATGTTTTGGGTGGTGAGGTTAGCCGGAGTGCCTGGAGGAAACTCACCCAGATATCCGGGTAGAAACATGTAAACTTCCCCACTCAGAGAGGATGCTACCCACTCAGCGAGCCACAGTGGAGTGTGTGGAGATTCACACATGGACATTTGTGCAGATTACAGTGGACCTGTTTGGAGAGAGGGAGTGAGCACTTCTCTCATCAAAGACCAATCACACTCACTCTGACAGGACCAAGCAGCCGGGTCAATCTCACCAGCTTTCAGAGGCCCACATTCCTCTGACATCATCGTCGGTCTGGGTTTGGTAGAGGTTAATGCGGACAGAAATCTAACCGGGATTCACCACAGTGCACAGATCAGCGCAGATCGAGACAACGATCAAAAACGATCGGAAGGCGAACGTCCCTAACAAGTTATTACACTCTGACCTCTGCCAAGAGGCTCAGTTCCTGTACTGACAAAAGTTCCTTGACTCATTCTTATCATACCAAAGTTGAATATATATGGCTTCGATGGGTGATGCTTTTACTCATTTTCACCTCCTGGCTCAGGTGGCTGAAAACGGACTGCTCTAGTCTCACAATATTACTACACGCCACATGAAAAGATGAAACCAAAATGCCCCGCTTACAGTTCTACTGTGTTGGTGTGTTTCATAGCGCCATCTAGTGATAGTAAAAGTTAATGTATCACTTGTAGGTAAAAATGTATGTGAATATAGTTTTTGTGAGCAGCATGCTGGACTGACTCCAGGAATAACAGCTGTACTTGTTACAGCTAATGGAGATCAAATAAGTACATATACAAATTCACATGTGTGAAAAAGGAAGAATTCATTCATTCGTGATACAGACACACACACACGCACACTGACACCACTAACGTGGATATTTATGTATATTTTCATTGATTTTTCATCTAGCCAGTTTTAGTCCCACATTTACCCCGCGAGTGCACAGGGCAAAAAGGTTGAGAACCACTGGGTTAGAGAAAAATGAAGGGATTTTCCAGTAGAGAGGAGGTGACACTTCCACAACACTGCCACTGGGGGCGCTAGGCTGCTGTTGTTGTGGTTAGCTTTAGCCCATGCTGCCTGTTGTACCGGGTGAAGTACGATTTGCCGGGTACTGTAGCGAGATGGCTCTCACATAAGGCGCTGATCAGCATCGTGTTTAACTATAAACGTGTGAAAATGACCGTAGAAATGGCTGGTGTGTTCGACATCGATCTGGATCAACCAGATGACATTGTTTCTGAGGACGAGCTTGAAGACGGGGTGAGTCCGGTGCTGATGCTAACCGGGCTAGCCTCTGGTTAGCATACATCCTTATGTTAGCTATCTACTACCAGGCTTTTTGGAAGAACAATGGAGACTCTGAACAGGAGACCTGTTCTGTTCAGAGTTGGATGAACACGTTATAGAACATGTATATTGCGGGGTTGATGTGGTAAATGTGAACCCGAGAGATGACGCCGATGACCCGCTCATACTGAACCAAGAGCAGCCCCAGCGTTTCCCATCGAGAGCACACGAACCATTCTTTTATATTAGTCACTATTTCTTTAATATGTTACAACAAACACAGTCTTCATAATCCTAGCATTAATGTTCACAGGATTTTCTCATATAATGTAAGTAAAGTCACATGGCGCTCAGACAGTGATCTTTTACAGTATCTTCAGTTCAACTATTGTTTATATTTACTTTTCCAGTTGTTTCGATTATTTTATCTCTAAGCATTTTACTTTCCCTCTTTCGAGACTATGACCTTATGTTACAATGTAACATAGTGAAGGCTAACCAATGCGTTATGCTGGTTTTGTTTCAGGGTGAATACATGGACCAATGCAGCAGCGGTTTTGAGTTGTAAGTAACTTTATAGAATATGTTGTTGACCATCTAAAATCTCATTCTGTTTCCAAATTGATTTGTTATTTGTTCCTTAAGTTTATATCTTGTGTTCCTTTTTGTATTACTAGTAACATAGATGGCTGTGAGAAGTTTGAGATATCTGAGACCAGTGTAAACAAAGGAACAGAACAGATTCGGCCTGAATGCTTTGAGCTGCTGAAAGTTCTGGGGAAAGGTGGTTATGGAAAGGTACAACACTGCAACAAAGTGCACACATCTCTGCAATGCATGCAAAAATTGCTATGGCATTATTTTATCTGCAGCTCTTGATAAAGATTCTATTAAGATATAAAGACATACATTACATGTGTGTAAAGTGAATATCTTAAATTTGAAAAATAAATATGGGGTTTATATATTCCCCTAAGTTTATTGATAAAAATTTAAATAAGAGTCAGGTGAAACGTATACATTTAGGGCTAAGTGATATGGCAAAAAAATAAAATGTCAATTTTATTTCCTGCTTTGGACGATTCTGATTTTAAATCGATTTTCATTAAAGTCACCAAAGACAGACTTTGCCTTTTAAAAATATGTTTTGATCTTTCTGCTCATTATTCAAGTTACAAAACAATTTTTTATTTATTTCCCCTAATACGTATTATAAAAGTCTTGTACAGACTGTGCTGATATTGCAAGTATAATTCATGTGCTGCTGGAACTCTCACAATAACCTTACATTGTGTGCACCATGTGCACTTGTAAATTGTATATAGTAATTTAACTCTTTTTTAACTCTTTTTATTTTTATTTTTTATTCTTTATTTGTATTATCTCTTTCTGACTGTTGCACTGAGCCAAAGCAATTTCCAAGCCTGTGACTTCCTGTTACTTACGTGGCAATAAAAATGATTCTGATTCTGATAACCTTCATTCAATTTAAAAAAAAAAAAACAAAAAAATAAAAAATAAAAAAAATCACAATTGTCACTTTTTTCATAAATTCGATTTTTTTTCAAAAGCCGATTAATTTTCTAAATTTGATTTATTACCCAGCCCTTATTGTACTACATATATTTGAAATTAATCCAATTCTTACTCTTTCAGGTGTTCCAAGTCCGTAAAGTCACAGGTGCTGCATCTGGAAAGATTTTTGCAATGAAAGTTTTGAAGAAGGTATGTCTTATTCTACCTATCTTGGTTTGGTTTATCCAAGTATAATGGAATTAATTTTGTAAATAGGAATCTACCAGAAAAGAAAAGAAAACTATACAAAAAATGTAAACCTAGTGATAAACACAGGATTTTGTGTTGCCTAAAGATTCTTTGTAGTTTCTCTGAATCTTTAGGCAACACAAAATCCCTGTGTATTTCAAACCTTTCAACACGTTAAGACAGAAATTAGTGCATCCCAAAGACAAAACACCCAGACACAAACAGAGCAATGTGGTGTATTCAATTAAATGTATTGAAGAGGAGTGCACTGACCACTATATTGGAGAAACTAAACAAACTCTACAGAAACGACTTTACCAACATCGTAGAGAAAACTCTAGTGGGCCACAGTCGGCTGTTCATCTCCACCTCAAGGCCTCCAACCACACGGTGGATGACACAGAGGTTAAAATTCTGGCTCGGGAGAAGAATTGGTTTGAGAGAGGGGTGAAAGAAGCCATTTTTGTGAGGAAACAAAAACCTTCTCTTAACAGAGGAGGAGGGTTAAGATTTGTTTTGCCTCGCATCTATGACGACATCCTAAAAACAACGCCCTAACTTGGGACAAGGTCAGTGACATGCTAATGAGTTAGGAGGGGTGCACTCCACTTGAGCATCCCAGCAGACAATAGGTCTGTGACATGCTAAGGAGTTAGGGTCGTTAGCCTCAGCAGGGTCGTTAGACCTGCTCCCTTCTACATCAAGCAGACCTTAGATTGTTTACGAGTTAGTATCAGGATTAGGGTGTGGCTTACCACACCCATAGGTTATAAATCTCCAACGCGCGGTCCGAGAATTCATTCCCTGAAGAAGTCCCCAGGTTGAGGACGAAACGTCGGGAAAACTTGCTAAGAAGTACAGATGATGGGTGAGAAACCTTCCTTTGCTTTGACTAATCCCTGTACGACTGAGGGCTTACACAAACTCAAAAGGCCCCATGTTGACTTAGCTGTTAGGGCCAGCGCTCACCATCTTGATATGGGCCTAATGAGGCAAGCCACCAAGTCATTCCGCCCTTCGCACCAGAGCCGTTCCACCGACCTTAACTGTAACCCAATTATTGGGTGTTACCCCTGGACGTCACTAATGTGTGGCTGTACGGGGCCTGGCCCGAGTGTGCGTGCAGGATGAGACGGTGCGGTATGAGCTGATACCTTCTGCCACGTCTTTATTGGTTATGTGTTGTCAAAGGACACTTCTGTGTGTCTGTAATTTGCGGCTGATTTGTCACGGGTTTCAGTGGAAGCCTTGAGTTAGGCTCCCTGTGGCTAGGAATGACATTGAAATTTCCCCACTGTTTGTCTTGTCTTAATATATTAAAATGATAGATCAACTTTCCCCAACACTGTCTTTTGGAACGTATTTGGTCTGTATGGTATGTTTTACACTATAGTAATACGATAAATAAATAAATTCCACATCATTTTGACCAAACCTCCTGGTGTCACTGGCTTCTTTTCATTGGGATTGATGCGTTTATTAAAAAGTAAATATCAATGAATAAACCATTCACTCACTCATTTCCAATGCTCCCAACGAGAACCAATGAACCTGTATTGTTTTTGTTCTTTCCCAGGCAATGATTGTCCGTAATGCAAAAGATACTGCTCACACCAAAGCTGAGCGTAACATCCTGGAGGAGGTGAAGCATCCTTTTATCGTGGACTTGATATATGCCTTTCAAACTGGGGGAAAGTTGTACCTTATACTAGAATACCTCAGTGGTAGGTATCATGATGCTTGGCCTTACAGGTTCCTTACGAGTGTTTGCCTAAAAGGTATGTTTGATTATTTGTGCAGGCGGAGAACTATTTATGCAACTCGAACGAGAAGGAATATTTATGGAGGACACTGCATGGTAAATGACCGATATCCTCTTGTTGCACTTTGGTCTAATGACGTGTTCAGAAGATAAGTAGTATATGAAATAAATAAGCAGAAATCTTTCGAAAACTGATGACAATTTTCACTTACAGTTTCTACCTGGCTGAGATCTCCATGGCTTTGGGCCATCTGCACAAGAAGGGCATCATCTATAGAGACTTGAAGCCTGAGAATATTATGCTCAACAGCAATGGTAAGGACAAATGAAATGACTTCTTCATGATGGACTGCCTTTGGTCACGTTTTGATGCATCATTTCTCTTCTACAGGACATGTCAAGCTGACAGACTTTGGTCTCTGCAAGGAGTCAATCCATGATGGCTCTGTAACCCACACCTTCTGTGGCACCATTGAATATATGTATGTAACGTTATAAGATCATGTTGCTCTTCTATTTTTACTCTTCTGCACCTTTAAAAGAGTATCATGTTTTGTTTCCTTTTGTCTACAGGGCTCCAGAGATCCTGATGCGAAGTGGACACAATCGTGCAGTCGATTGGTGGAGTCTCGGTGCTCTCATGTACGACATGCTGACCGGAGCAGTAAGTTTACACCAATCAATACAGGAGCATACAATACTACAGACCACTTCTTCTTCCCATTGCTGGGTTTATATACAAGTGCTATACAGTCTTTGAAGTATAGACAGGCTGTTTGTAAAATCACTTTTCTGTTGACCATCTCCTGGTTTGGACTCAGCATGCATGACTATAACAATCCACATGTTTACTTTTAGCCACCCTTTACCGGGGAAAACCGAAAGAAGACCATTGACAAAATATTGAAATGCAAACTTAGTCTTCCACCATATCTGACACAAGAAGCAAGAGACCTCCTCAAAAAGGTAAAAACATTTTTTCACATGAGCCCAAGAAGCAACAAAACCAAACAATCCTTCTGTTTTCAGCTGTTGAAGAGAAATGCTTCAGTGCGACTTGGGGGTGGCCAAGGCGATGCTGCAGAGGTCCAGGTAAACAGTGGTTCATAAACTGTGTGGAAACCTAAAACAAATCATCTTCGCTACAAAGCTGCTCCTTGTCATCTTCAGGCTCACCCTTTCTTCCGTCATACAAACTGGGATGACCTGCTTGCTCGTAAAGTAGAGCCTCCTTTTAGACCTTTTCTGGTAAGTCTAAAAATAGTTTCTCAATATTATGGAAGGCATTAAATATATTATTATTTTACAGCAATCAGCTGACGATGTCAGCCAGTTCGACTCCAAATTTACTAGTCAGACTCCAGTGGACAGTCCAGATGATTCCACACTCAGTGAAAGTGCTAATCAAGTCTTCCTGGTAAGTTCAGTCCCACTTCTGTAGATTCAGATAAACTATAGTCATAACCAGTTCAACATCTTGCAAGAATCACTTAATGTATCCCATGTGGTTGTGAATGACTCGTGTTCCTGGAAGCGGTGCTCACTTGTTAACCACACTGCATGATACAGTTTACTTAGTGCTGCGTTGCTCCTCATCAGTTGTGGGTGTTTTCTGGAAAAATCATGTACTCAGAAATATTTGTCTCATCTCCTCAGGGTTTTACATATGTAGCCCCATCGGTTCTTGAAAATATCAAAGAGAAGTTCTCTTTTGAACCAAAAGTTCGTTCTCCACGCAAATTCCCTGGAAGTCCAAGAACACCTATAAGGTAAAGGCTCTTGTGTTTGTAACATTACACTCTGTACATTCAACATTTTGATTAATCAACATTTTGGCAACTGTAAACATGTGTTTGTCTTGTTGATGCGAACAGTCCGGTGAAGTTTGCTGGTGGGGACTGCTGGCCTCGGGGACCCGCTCTAAATGACGGGACATGTGTGCTCTCTCGTGGCATATCAGTGGAACAACCAATGGAGCTGTCATCTGTTGAGCAAACAGACATTAGCAGCAGTGGAACGACAGAGGTCTCAGCACCACTTCCTATCCGACAGCCATCAGGCATCAACATTGGACAATATAAGAAACCGGCCTTTCCTTTAAATTCCAAGAGACCAGAGCATTTAAGAATGAATCTATGACACTTGGCTGTAGATACCTATTCTTCCTCCTTATTAACATTTTCATTTTTAGGAGATTTTTAGTTTTTTGTTTTTTTTACAATTGACTGACACTGTTTCTGCTGATCACCAGCTCTTCCTCCAGCGCCTTCACTCTTCACCTCTGAGTCTTCTGCTCATAATGAGTAGTGGCCATGGATTATGAAGCGTGTCTCTAAGCAGGGGAATTGCATGCTGGGTAGGGTTTTGGCATTCTGATTAATTGGTGCTTCTGTCCATTTACAGGACATTGCTTTGACAATGTTTACAACTGGAAATATTACTTAAAAATGCAATGCAAATGTGCATTTTAGGTGCCCCTTACTCAATATTCAAGTTAAGTTGCAAAAATTGGGGGTAAAAAAGAAAAAGATGAGAAGCACACTGACTGTAACCTACTTGCCTGACCAGCTAGGCCCTTCTACGTTCTGTTCAAATACAGAAGTAATTATAGTTCTGGCTGATCAGGCTTGTATCATACAGAAATTAAATCCCATCTTGTTGCGCTTCCACCCGTGGGACACCTGGTGCCTCCATTTTGTCCCATTATTTCTGCATGTAAATAGTCCAGAAGGCTGCGGAAAGAATTTCATTTTGGTGACTCAGTGTTACCAACTCACTGGTTTAGTCTATTCGAATGGTTGAAGGCTCGTGTTACTCCATGTGTGCAGTATTCATGTATTTTTATTATTGATCTGTCTGATCAATTTAACTTTTATGTCACATTAACAAATAGTATTTAAAAAGCTGATGTAAGCATAATTTTAGTTTTACTGTTTCCATACCAACTCGTGTATATTTGTCTAAATTTAGTTATTGATCGGTTCAAGTCGTTGGATTTTTGCACCCGTTTACATCAAGTTTGTTACAGCTTTACTCAAGTGCCATTTTTTTTTTTTTTTTTACAGAGTTCACACTATGCAAATATTGTATTTATTTTTGTTCTAGTATTGAATTTAATAAGGCAGCAGAATGTGATTTGTCATTCCTGTTTATTCCATATGATCATTTGTTTATATCACAGGTCCAAAGCATTTAATATTGTATTAATTTGAATCACATCTAAGTTATTGTGTGGTGTTTGAAATCCAATGTATCTCATTCCCATCAAAGAATGCACAGGGCATTTTTTCCCCATGACGTTTTCTTTGAGAGTCCTTGTTCTAATCATGATTCCCTTGGTGTAAAAATGAACAACGTATGTTTTCCAGTCCAGCTAAAATTCTCTCCACTGTAAAATGGCTGGTTTCCTCTTACTTGAATACTAAAATGTACATAACACGACTCTCTTCTCACTGTAATGACAGCTTTTTTATTCATTTAAACTGATGAAAGTTACTGATTTAATAAAAATGTTAATTTTCATTCTTTGGTTACAAAAATTAACCCAACCACCTTTGTAGAAAAATACCTGCAACGGCCCTCTTACATAATACACAATATTTTAACACCAATAAAATTGCCAACATGAGTTCATATATCAAACTTTGTCATTAAAGTTACCAAAACTGACATTGGTTTAAAAAAGTATAATCACAACATTCAATTAATATTTCTAACAGAGTCCACTACAAAGATGCGGCTGCTTCCTCTTAATTGTCCAGAGAACCTGATAAGACTTTGGTGTTGCCAAACGCTGGCTCTATATACAGTGTTTAATATATTTGAGGAAAATCAAAAGGTTAACCAATACTGTTCCAGCCATAAACTAGTCCCAACCCGATTTAAACTGCCAACAACAAGTACCACACATCACTAGCTGAGATGAAAGAATGAAAAGCCTAAAACGACAGCTAAATAATTTGTCAGATGGGCCGTGGACCGGATTGGACTGATGACAAGCCTGAGTGTGTACCTGCAACATGACCTAGATGTTTGTAGGCAAAGCTAACACAAGTAGGTTGTGTACCCTCCACCAGAAACTGAACATTTTAACTTAATGGAAACAGGTCAAGCAAGAAAATTATTCATAACAATAATAGAATCCAGAGATAAAATCAACCAGGTCAATATACTGATGTAATGGGCAGTAATCTGCCTACCGTCAACATGCGGCTGTAAAACAGCTCTTAACAGTGTTGAGAACAAATTATGCAAGATAATTTTTCAGTGGGATTTGACATTGTCAAATACATTGACATTCGGATATAAAAAGGCCCGGCACTTGGGTCAATAAATTTGCAGGTGTGGAGATGTATCACCATCCCTCCATTTGTAGACCTTTTCTGTGATCACAGTCCTGCACAGCGGGCAGCTCTTTTCACGATTGAACCAAAGTGCAATACACTCGTCGCAGAATATGTGCTGCACAGCAAAAACAAAAAGGATTAATGTCAGCCAGTTTCTTTTAAGATGAATGCAATGGTCCCGATGACAAATCAAAGTAAAGAGTACTGACCTGGCAGAGCAGTGCACGAGGCTGCCTGTACTCTCCTTGGCAGATAGGACAAACCTCTCCGGCTTCACTACACTGACTCCTAGTGGCCGCTGTTCCAGTTTGCTAAAACAGTATAAACTCAATTAAATTTTTTTTTTTTAATTGCACTTAATAGTGGGGTACCATTTACCTCTCCCTGTAGACATATCCTCAGAGTTTGTATTAATGCTGAACACTGTCCATACAGACCTAACAGCTGACAACAGGATGATATTTGTTATAACTTTGTCACCTTCAGTAAAGTTCTTACAGTGATTCGTTGCTTACTTACTTTCATTATGAGGTAGAGCAAAGCAAGCACAACCCCAAAGGTCAGCCCAAGAGCACTATCAATATGGTAGGTGACCAGGTAATGGAACCATAGAGGAACAGGGGCAACTGCCTGGTATATCTGACCTAGCTCCTCTGTTAGCATTAGAAATCTCCCCTAGAAAAAAAAAACATTCTTAAAAATTAACAGTATCCATTTTTGATCCAATTAACTATCTAGGGTCATTTTACCTGAGACCTGTAGGTGACCAATGTGGAGGGCAGCAGCAAAATAAGGCACTTAATCCCCATAGTAAGGAATTTAATTATAAAATTAGTGATGCCAACTGCCCAAAGAACCTCCCAAAATCCAACAAGTCCAATTGGGCTGAGAAAAATGAGACTGAAACAACAAAACAAATTAATCCAATATCCATTTTTTTCTTTCCAACTCAAAATGCCTTCATTGATATGCTTGTCATTATCGTTTCATCTGTTGTTGAAGTTGAACATTAATCTAAGTATACCAAGTTAGATTAAAGCAGGCATTCAAAGTAATATTGTTAATATCATGTCTGTAAACACTTAAATACTTACCAGTTGTGAAGTGTCTCACTATTAAATGTGTAATAAAGCAGGACTGTTGAGGAACTTAAGAAGATGATATACCACACACAGTGCAACTTGAAGTGGCCATGCTGTAAGTACAAACACATTTGCGGTTTTAGCCATTCAATAGAAAGGAAAATAATGTTACTGAATTCTGAAATTAACCGGGTTTACCTGGTGAAAAACTTGAGTTTGAATACCTTTATTCACATATAAAAAGGTGGTAAATAGACCAATGGCGACCATTAAACCTGTGGAGTGAACAGAGGGTACAAAATAAAGACCATCTCTATGTCTTTATTCTGTGGTAAACATCCTTCCTACCAAGAGCATGTTGGATCACCAGTTTTGCACACAGAATTATAAGGAAAGGGAGACTTTTCTGAAGCCACCGGAATAGACAGCGGAGCTCTGAGAGCGAGGCACTGGTCTCTCCAGACTCTGGGTCAGAATCAGGAGGCTCCAGGTCAGTCGGGGAGTGGGGCTGGTGCTGTGCCCGAGTGTGTCCATGGGAGTGGGCGTGTGCGTGGGAGGACACCCTGGGCCTCCGGGATGAGGCACCACTGCTGGAGTCTCCATGTTCACTGGTGATGGACAGACGCACTTCCGGGTTGGCAGCAGGAGAGCACAGTGTGGGGGCCCTAGTTTTCATATCTGTTTGCATGAACAGTTTCACATCATTTGGTCCTGAAGCACCCGCCGTACTTTTAGGCTGCATCACCGCAGGAGAATCCCTCGATGTCAATGCTCTGCTTGATTGACTCCTACAGAGGAGGATACACACATATGTATGCTTTTGTACATTTAAAGTTGGCAATAATCCACATGATTGATAAGGAACCCATGACGTGTCAAACCATGAAAACGTCTAACTCGGTGACGTCTCATAACTAAGTTAAAACGTGTTTAGTTCAACAAACTTAGTTAAACTTTTACTTCACAAACAACTGTGACTGTGTGTGAGAGCGCCATTAAACACCATTTCACTGTCAAGTGATTGCTTTAACCCGTGTGGGAATAGTCAGATGTTAGCAGCAGTTAGCTGTTTGTGTCGATATGTCATTAACCCATTAACTAACTTAACGTTACGTACCTCGCATTATTCTGCATTCGGAGTTGCATTGTATGTGTTTAGTCCCCATCGAATGTCATTTCTTCCTCGCTTAACAAAACAAAATGTTAACCAAAAACAAAACATAAGCTTAAGTGCGAGCTGTCTGTGTTGTGTTTACGACAATGGATCTAAGTCTGTTTACGGCAGTCATAGCAGGAACTTCTTCATCACGTTTTGAGCACAGAGGCGCGTGGACGCCCCCTACTGGCCTAGAGTATGGAAGAAGAACTGGACTGTCTCATGGACCACAGTTTAGACTGTGCATAAATCATGGATCTATTGGCATAGATGGACAATGAAGCCCGATATTTATTGTACATAATATATCCTGAATTTAACATGTTTGCACACTTCTTTCTTTGCACATTTTTCTTCTTCTTGAGTGATTCTACCCATGCCAGATGTGACATGTACATTTCTCCTGTGTGAGATCAATAAAGTCTATCTTATCTTAGGGAAGTGCTTCAACATGCTCTGGTTCTAGTGTAGTCTTGCTAGGAAACCATTTTGGGTTGGGTTTTTTTTATTTGTATTTTTTAAATCATTGTGAAATGGCCATCCCTAAGCCAAAATATTGTTTCAAGTGGTTTGGGTCTCTAGATCGAATGCCCTGGAAAGTTGTTGAAAAATACAATGGCAAAAGTAGGTGAATTGGCTAAAATATTTTAAACAAAAATAAAGGCCTGGGCTGTCTGTGTCAAATACCCTATGAAACTGTATACTCATAAAAATGGCACATTTAGTCAATTGATTGTCCCACTTCTTGTTTTGATGGTACGTAAATGTCTGTGAAATGTCCATAATAGCCATTTTTAATTGTTCGATTATATTATGTTTTTGTAAAGTGGGCTGTAGGGCTTTACAAAAACATTGTTCTGCTGTACATATATTGTAGATATTTTTATTTAAAACTGTGATGTCCTTCTCATGTTGTCCATGCGGGACCGTAGATCCAACACATTTCACTAATGAAACACATGACAAACCATTACCCTCAACCTTATAATACAACTAATCGTTCACTGAAGGTCAGAAAAATATTGAAATTTATCAGAAAAATTGGATGCTGTCCCTCAAGACAATTTTGGGCGATATAATAAAGCTTTGATTTGATCAGGCCTCATGCTGGTTACCTTAGTCTCCAGTAGATGGCGACACAATCCAAGAGATGAGGTGATGAGCCCATCAAAAGGTTTTCTACATGTCTATAATGTTGTACATATATATCTGAATAATGTTAATGATAGAAATGCCATGTATGATTTAGTTTGATTTACTTCCAGTCTGATTAAATATCTTCAGAAATATCCATAATATATACAAAGTCCAAACATTACATTAACAAGCCACCAAGGTGAAAAGAACCGTTTGATGGTGACCTCTGCGAATCGGAGTGTATTCAGCCCCTCCTTCTCTTCCTACTCTTCTTCCTCCTCTTCCTCCTGTATTTGCTCATGGTGGTTTGCTACAGCCGCCCTGACATGGTTCCGCGCCTCGTCCTTTTCCTTTCACCTGAGATAGATGGGCTTGTGCTGGGCTGCAGAAAAAGGCCTTATCAGCCACGACATGGGCCTCTCAATTGTCAATCTGATCGATGTCTACCGCCTGGATCTAGGCCACTGCATTAGTCCAGAGGCTCCTCGACTCTCAGAGACAACTAACTGCACATATTATTGGTATAATATAATATGTTCAGATGTATATATATTTAATTGACACAGGAAATACATAGCGTCTAAAATGACACTTTTTTAACACTATTTATCCAGAGAAAGTGCACATGCTGTTTTACTTTGAATCCGCAAACCGTTATTACAAATGTAAAATTATATTTGAACTCAACAATCAATATGACACAGAATAACTGAAAGGAAACACAGTGAAAAACATACTTTTAGGGTATAGAAAAATGTGTCCTCTGCATTTGACCCCTCCTTCAATGCCACCAGTCAGATCAGTGAGAAATATATCTGGGTGAGCAAACTCCACACAGAAAGGCCCCCATAGGACCCAAACCATGACTTACTTACTGTGAAGCATGAGCACTACCCACGCTGTACTCAGGTTAGTGATCAAGAAGAATATTTATATATGTTCAGAAACTTAGATTTATTATCATTATTAGAAGATTAAAATGGGAAATGGTGAAAATGCCATATTATGTAATATCATTTTCACTTTACCATACTCCCTTGCTTACATGTGGAGTGAGTGCAATTAAAAGCTATACAACAGAAGCTTAAATCCAATAGCAGCATGTGTGGAGGCACCATAGTAGTGTTTTGTATTGACGTCTTGTAACATCTCAGTATAGTTCTTTTAGTCTCTTTCCCCATTAGCTGGAGGCCAGAGGCTCAGGCTGCCGTGCCAGTCCTAATAAATCCTCTGTCAGGAGCAGCAGCAGCAGCAGCAGTGGACCTGCATTCTTCAGGAGCCAGCACTTCCCCTAATCTGCCCCGGAGATGGAGCAACAGTTGGCCCAGCTGGTGGAGAGAGCAGCAGAGAGAGAGTAGAGAGAGAGCAGAGAGAGAGTAGAGAGAGAGTAGAGAGAGAGCAGAGAGAGAGTAGAGAGAGAGCAGAGAGAGAGTAGAGAGAGAGCAGAGAGAGAGTAGAGAGAGAGTAGAGAGAGAGCAGAGAGAGTAGAGAGAGAGCAGAGAGAGTAGAGAGAGAGTAGAGAGAGAGTAGAGAGAGTAGAGAGAGAGTAGAGAGAGTAGAGAGAGAGTAGAGAGAGAGTAGAGAGAGAGTAGAGAGAGAGTAGAGAGAGAGTAGAGAGAGAGTAGAGAGAGAGTAGAGAGAGAGTAGAGAGAGTAGAGAGAGAGAGAGTAGAGAGAGTAGAGAGAGAGCAGAGAGAGTAGAGAGAGAGTAGAGAGAGTAGAGAGAGAGTAGAGAGAGTAGAGAGAGAGCAGAGAGAGTAGAGAGAGAGTAGAGAGAGTAGAGAGAGAGTAGAGAGAGTAGAGAGAGAGCGAGAGAGAGAGTAGAGAGAGAGTAGAGAGAGAGTAGAGAGAGAGTAGAGAGAGAGAGAGAGAGAGAGAGAGTAAGAGAGAGTAGAGAGAGAGCAGAGAGAGAGTAGAGAGAGAGTAGAGAGAGAGCAGAGAGAGAGTAGAGAGAGAGTAGAGAGAGAGTAGAGAGAGAGAGTAGAGAGAGAGTAGAGAGAGAGTAGAGAGAGAGTAGAGAGAGTAGAGAGAGAGTAGAGAGAGAGAGTAGAGAGAGAGTAGAGAGAGAGTAGAGAGAGAGTAGAGAGAGAGTAGAGAGAGAGTAGAGAGAGAGTAGAGAGAGAGCAGAGAGAGAGTAGAGAGAGAGTAGAGAGAGAGTAGAGAGAGAGTAGAGAGAGAGAGTAGAGAGAGAGTAGAGAGAGAGTGAGAGAGAGTAGAGAGAGAGAGTAGAGAGAGAGAGAGAGAGAGTAGAGAGAGAGAGAGAGAGAGCAAGAGAGAGAGTAGAGAGAGAGAGAGAGAGAGTAGAGAGAGAGCAGAGAGAGAGTAGAGAGAGAGTAGAGAGAGAGTAGAGAGAGAGAGCAGAGAGAGAGCAGAGAGAGAGTAGAGAGAGAGTAGAGAGAGAGTAGAGAGAGAGTAGAGAGAGAGCAGAGAGAGAGTAGAGAGAGAGTAGAGAGAGAGTAGAGAGAGAGCAGAGAGAGTAGAGAGAGAGCAGAGAGAGAGTAGAGAGAGAGCAGAGAGAGAGTAGAGAGAGAGTAGAGAGAGAGCAGAGAGAGAGTAGAGAGAGAGTAGAGAGATAGAGAGAGAGTAGAGAGAGAGAGAGAGAGAGAGTAGAGAGAGAGTAGAGAGAGAGTAGAGAGAGAGTAGAGAGAGAGCAGAGAGAGAGTAGAGAGAGAGTAGAGAGAGAGCAGAGAGAGAGTAGAGAGAGAGTAGAGAGAGAGTAGAGAGAGAGTAGAGAGAGAGCAGAGAGAGAGTAGAGAGAGAGTAGAGAGAGAGTAGAGAGAGAGTAGAGAGAGAGTAGAGAGAGAGTAGAGAGAGAGTAGAGAGAGAGCAGAGAGAGAGTAGAGAGAGAGTAGAGAGAGAGTAGAGAGAGAGCAGAGAGAGAGTAGAGAGAGAGAGAGAGAGAGAGAGAGAGAGAGAGAGAGAGTAGAGAGAGAGTAGAGAGAGAGCAGAGAGAGAGTAGAGAGAGAGTAGAGAGAGAGCAGAGAGAGAGTAGAGAGAGAGCAGAGAGAGAGTAGAGAGAGTAGAGAGAGTAGAGAGAGAGTAGAGAGAGAGAGAGAGAGTAGAGAGAGAGTAGAGAGAGAGAGAGAGAGAGTAGAGAGAGAGTAGAGAGAGAGTAGAGAGAGAGTAGAGAGAGAGCAGAGAGAGAGTAGAGAGAGAGTAGAGAGAGAGTAGAGAGAGAGTAGAGAGAGAGTAGAGAGAGAGTAGAGAGAGAGTAGAGAGAGAGAGAGAGAGTAGAGAGAGAGCAGAGAGAGAGTAGAGAGAGAGTAGAGAGAGAGCAGAGAGAGAGAGTAGAGAGAGAGAGAGAGAGAGAGAGAGTAGAGAGAGAGTAGAGAGAGAGAGAGAGAGAGAGCAGAGAGAGAGTAGAGAGAGAGAGAGAGAGAGGAGAGAGAGTAGAGAGAGAGTAGAGAGAGAGAGCAGAGAGAGAGTAGAGAGAGAGTAGAGAGAGAGTAGAGAGAGAGTAGAGAGAGAGCAGAGAGAGAGTAGAGAGAGGGTAGAGAGAGAGTAGAGAGAGAGTAGAGAGAGAGCAGAGAGAGAGTAGAGAGAGAGTAGAGAGAGAGTAGAGAGAGAGCAGAGAGAGAGTAGAGAGAGAGTAGAGAGAGAGTAGAGAGAGAGTAGAGAGAGAGTAGAGAGAGAGCAGAGAGAGAGTAGAGAGAGAGTAGAGAGAGAGTAGAGAGAGAGCAGAGAGAGAGTAGAGAGAGAGTAGAGAGAGAGCAGAGAGAGAGTAGAGAGATAGTAGAGAGAGAGTAGAGAGAGAGCAGAGAGAGAGTAGAGAGAGAGCAGAGAGAGAGTAGAGAGAGAGTAGAGAGAGAGCAGAGAGAGAGTAGAGAGAGAGCAGAGAGAGA